GGGCTCGGGCACCTTCCAGTCCATCTTGCGTCCCTTCTCGTAGAGGCCCTTGAGCACCTTGCGGAAGTCCTCGGGCTCCGCACCCTGCGGGCTCAGCTCCAGGTACTTGCGGTAGAGCTGCAGCGCCGTGCGCGCGTCCTCGATGCTGTCGTGGGTCTCCCCCTGGATCTTCAGGTCTGCGGGGAGAGCACCGCGGTGTCAGGCTGGCGGAGACCCCGCGGGGGGAACCTGCCCCCACTCCCAAATCCTTCGGCCACTGACCCAGGAAATACCAGGCGAGGAAGCGCAGGGAAATCATCCTCTTCCTCGGGATGTGGAACAGGTAGACAGTGTCGATCACCTGGTCCTTGGGCACCTGGAAAGCAGAGAGGGTCCTGCTGCCAGGGCAGGGGCAGGGGGGGAAGCCCGGCACTGCCACCGGCCTGCCAACCCCACCCTGAGACCCCCAGGCTGAGGGAAGGGGGCTTGGAGCTGTCACCATCAGGTTGATGACACGGAAGTCTTTCTGCAGCCCATGGCCCACAAACTTGACTCCCACGTCGATGAGGAAGCGCAGCTTCAGGTAGGTGGATTTGAGAGTGGTGAGGTGCTTGGAGGAGATCTTGGCGTCCAGGTCTCCCGGCTTGATCCCCGAGTACTGGGTCAGGTAATCCACCCCCTGCGGAGACCGGAGGCCGTGGAGGTGCGCTGGGAAGGCCGAGGGGCAGCCGTGGGGGTCTGTCCCCTCCCCGAGCCCCCTGCCAGCATCCCGGCGAGGGTGCTGTCGTTATTGCGGGTGCCCTTCCGTGGAGCGGGAGGCAGAGTGGGTCCGTGTCCTCTGCAGGGCTGGGGAGCTGCCTGAGGCCAGGCGGGAGCCCCGTACCTGCTCCTGGGTGGAGATGTAGTCGTCAATGAAGGGAACGCCCTCGTTAGGGCCCTGCCCGCGCACACACGTGATCCTGGCCACCGACATCTGGCTGGGCTTGATGGTGGATTTGGTCCCGTCGCTGCGCAGCTCGGCCTCCTCCTGCCACGGATGAGAGGAAAGCTCAGTGACCGACAGCTCCCGCAGTCCCCAGGGACCGGGTGCACTCAGAGGGGCTGCCCCTGCGCCCCGGCACCCCGTCTCCCGCTGCAGGGAGGCCTGACCTCATTCAGCGTGACAAACTCGGCATCCAGCCCCACCAGGTCGCCTGCCTGCGGCATCTCGCTCAACATGAGGGGGATGAAGGTGGCGTGGCACTTGCGCTGCTTGCGAGCCAGGGAGGCCTCCGCCAGCAGCACGCTGGCTTCGATGGGGTTCTTGACTGCAGGAAAAGGGGAAGGGAGATCAGCCGCGAGCCGGCGCCGCTGGCCACGCGGCCACTTCCACCCCAGACACTCACTGACGAGGTTGTACTTGGCGTTGAGGTTCCTCCGAGCGTAGTACAGGATAGCCGGCACTTTCCAGCTCATGTCGAACTGCACCGCCTCACACTGCCGGGGAGGGACGGACAGTGCAGGGGCAGCCCGGCCTGGGGCAGTGCTCCCGCACGGAGCGGGAACCCCCCTCCATGGGGTCCCCAAAGCCTCGACACACGGCCGGTGGCACCGCCCCAAGTGCTCACCTTATCCACGGGCTCGATGAGGAAGTCGTTGAAGAGGTACCACTGCTGGTGTGTGACTCCCTGGGGGGAGAGACACAGGCACGGCCTTAGGGGGCCCCCCCAGGCAAACGCAATGACTCCTCTACCCAGTTACCGGGGAAAGAGGGGTGTGACGATGCCATGTGGGAACTCCCGCCCTTCCTGGGACACCGTGGGGAAATCCCTGCTGGCCTGGGTGGTGACGATGCGTACGTGAAGCACTCGGGCTGGACAGGCACCGTCTGTGCCCAACTCCCAACCAAAACTCCACGGAGATGCAACAGATAAGGGACAGGGGTGCAGCCTTGACACACTCTGGGAACTCCTGGCTTGGGCATCTCCACCAAACAACAGGACTGCCCAGACCAGCCCCCTTTCCTCGGGAAAGGAGATGACGTCCCAGCCCTTACCTGGAAGCACAAGGACCTGCTGGCAATGTGCCCGTGACCAGGAGGAACTAGCCCGAGTAAGCGTGGGAAGAGCGCTTCTTCAGCCTTTCCCTCCCCGTAAGGTGGCCAAGCACCACTTGGCTCTTTAGGGCTGCCCGGAACGTTCAAGCAAACGCTCAATGCTTGATTAAGAGACCCAGAAATGGGTCTGTTCAACGACCCAACCCCTAAGTAAGCCATGGGTGAGGACACCGCGGCAAGGGATGCTCTCGGCAGCCTGTGGGTACAGTGGCTGTGGGTGGGAGAGCACCCATGCCGCAGGGCTTCTCACCTCCTTCCTTTGGTGGTAGGTCTCTCCCACTTTGATGTGCCCCACCAGGCTGCCCCCCGTGCGGGAATCCAGGATGTGGACGACGGTGGCCATTAGATCGTAGACATACACCGACTCTGGGTCGTCAGTTGGGCTCAACTGCAAGAGGAAGCAGCCCCGGGGAAATGTCTGAGCCTCAACTCTCTATCAGACAGCTCCCAGGCCTCCAACCCAAACCCCAGAGCTCAGACAGGCCGTCTCACCACCAGCCCAGAGGTTTCCATGCATCACCCGAGGTGTCTCTGAGACAGCCTCATTATCTCTCGACCACACACGCTCAGCAGAAAGTGGTTCTGAAGCAGTTCTGCTCCCGCAGCCCCACGTGCACACAACCACGTAGCCCCAGAGGGATCTCGTCAGCCCTTACCTCATCGTTCTCACTCCAGTTGCAGACATCTAGCTCCTTGCTCTTGGTCAGCCTCATCTTGATGGCGTGGGGGATCCAAATGTTCTTCAGTTCCTCCACGGAAGGATACGAATGCCCCATGTTGGGGTTCCCCAGCTCTTGCCTGCACAGAGAATTATGGAAGGCCAAGTTGGAGGGACTCACGAGATGTTGTCTAGGCCAACTTCTCTGGGGCAGGATCCCCACCACCCCACCCACTCGCCAGCCCATTCCTAAACCTTCCACAGGACAGACGGGGAAGCCAGAGCTGCACCACTTCCCCACAGCTGCCTAGAGCAGGACCCTGGGAAAGATGGTCGGCTAACATCTGCCAGAAGGGGCCAATACATGGTCCTGGGTCTTTTGTCAGTCTGAAAAGGGAAGGGGGATGAGAGCTGGAAGCTCAAAAGTGGATCACAAGTTGGATCACAAGGGTATCTGAAGGGGATGCTGTGCAGAGTGCCCATACAGGGTCACAGTCTCAAGAGCAGCAATGAAACTGTTCCAGTTCAGAGCCCACGAGGAGCTACAGACAGGTAGATTATCAAATTATCATTATGAGATGAGAAATGGCCCTGAGCTCTCCCAGGCCCAGAGAACAACCCAGAAGGCGTCAGTGCTCAGAGTCGCCACCCCAGGAATGGTCACCTACCACTCTCCCAGAGAGATTTCTTTGCCTTTGGTGATCTCAAAGCCTCCTCTCTTCATCATGGCTCTCTGAAAGGCATACTGGCAACGAAACACAGGCAAGCGTCAGCGCGGAGTGACAGGCTGGGCTTGGGAACACGTGGGCGACAGCCAGGCCAGAAGTGGGGAAAAGACAGGGACTTTAAAGTCAGTGACAGGGAAAAAAAACAGTGAGGGAAACCCAACTGTCCGCCCGCTCTCTGCTGGGCTCGTGCTCTGGGAAGCGGGCACTGCCTTGCTGCTCC